CCAAGCCAAGCCTCTTTGCCAGAGGGAGGGGGAGGCGCTCTGGGAACACGGATGGGGGGCAAAAAAGCACAGAGAGGCCTGGGGTGGGCTCAGCGTGACACTTTTATTGCATCCACGCAGCTCCTTCCTGCACGCGGCTCCTCCCCGCAGGGCTGCCCTCGGGGCTAGGGGATGGGGTCGTCTCTGGTCTTGCCCAGCTGGTATCTGGAGAGCTTGAGTCCCCCGCCGTAGCACGGCAGGGCCTGGAAGACCCACAAGTGGACGTAGTCGGTCGCGGCGTCGCCGTGCTGGACCTGCGAGGGGGACCCCACGGAGAAGGCCGTCACGGGGCAGAGCGGTGCTCGGCGGATTCCAGGCGGGGCTCACCGGCCTGAGAGCAGCGGCCGAGTGGGCCCCTGAATGGGCGGCCCGCGGCTCCCGGACCTGCTCTCTTCTGCAGCACTCGCAGAAGAAACCTCGGGAGTACGGATGGCTTGCGTTGCACATGGCCGGCTGCAAGGACACGGGGGCAGCGCTTTCCCTGCGAAGCACCTGCCCGTGCGAGGAGCCGGTCCGAGCCGGAGCATCCTTGGGGAAGGACTCTGCCTCCCGCTCAGGGCGCCTCCTGCTGGCTGAGGGCTGGACGGCAGGAACGGCGGCCCCTGCAGCTGGCCGGCCGCTTTGCTTGGCACCTCCTTACAGGGCCAAGGGGGCTTTCTCCATCGCCTCCCCCCACCCGCCTGCCCCGACATGCCTCCCTCTTTTCCTGAGAAGGGCTGGCCCCCTCGCTCTGCCCGGGAGTCTTCTCGGTCCGCTTGCCCGTTTGGCCTCCCCCCAGAATCGGGTGAGCCCCTCTGCGCTCCCACTGCGATCGCCTCCCGGGGCTGGAGGGAGCCACTCCCGAGACGCTGGACCCTGACCCACCGCCCGCTTGCCCGGTGCCCACCGGCTGGCCCATCCTGCGGCCAGCGAGGGCGGCTAAAGGCAAGCCGGAGGGAAGCCCGCTGGCAAGTGGAGCCCCCCCGGAGGGAAGGGGCAGGGCAGAGAGGAGGCGTGCCATCCCAGCCGGGCCGGGGAAGCCCTCGCTCTTGCCGGGAGACTCCCGAGGGCCTGAGCTTGCCAGGCCGGGCCCCGGGCCCTCCGTGGGCACGGGAGGAGACGGCAGCACAGTCCCAGGGTGGGAGCAATCTGGTCCCCCCCACCGCCCTGCTTGCTGGCCGGAACCCCCGGCACTGACCTTGATGACGTAGTTTGTCCCAGAAACCACCTGTGTGCTGTACGAAATCGCCTGGAAAATGGAGTAGCTGGTGTTCGTTACCTGCTCCAGCTGGCCCTTCACCTGAGGCGGGAAGGAGGCTGGTCATTCCCCTGCACGGAGCAGGACCGAGCGCTTTCCTATGCCCCTGGGGCCTGGGGGAAGCCCACGCCCTTTGCCTGGCCTTCCCTCCAGCTCTTGGGAACCCTGCAGGAGAGCGGAGTCTCGCTGGCAGCCGGGCAGGCAGAGCAGCTGGGCGGGGGGGCCTCTCGGCATGGGCCGAGAACCGCTCCCCACGGCTGTGGCGGGCTGGCCCGGGGGCAGCGCTCACCTTGTTTGCGATTTCCTGAACCTCGGGAGTGGCCGGAGCCGGGTCCGATAGTCCTCCCACCATCCTTTCTGCCATGGCTGCAGCTGGTCTGGTCTGGTCTGGTCCAGTCGCGCACGGCCCCTTCTCCTTTGAATGTGGGGTGAAGTGGCCAGGCAGGGGCCGGTTTTATTTTATCCGGCGAGGAGCGTGTCATGTGAGGGAGAACTCGCGATTGGATTGCGCATTTCTGTTCCGCAAGAGCCACACCAGGGGCTTCCCGGCTGTGCTCGAAATGACGCCCAGGCTCCTCCCGCACCCCTCAAAGCCAAGCGGAGGGACAGGGAAAGGGAACCAAAAGTGAAAGAGTGGGTGGTTTTCCCCTGTTCCCCTTTTCAGCATGGTGCATATATTTATTTTAAAGTTTATAGAGTTCTAAAGATGTCCCTTATTGAGCTTTGTCACACAGCGGAGTGCTTTTCCTGGGAGGTCCTCACTCACCAGAGAGTTCCTTCCTCATTAAATCTCGCAGCCTGACTCTCCTATCAAATGCGACGGTCGCGGCTGCTGAGAAATTTAGACCACGTGTTTTGTTTGAAGCTGGACAGCTGCCACCGCTCCGAGACTCGCAAAGCGCTGCGCTGCACGGGAAAGGCGTTGAGCTCGTGCGCAGCGCTGGGCTTTCCTCTCTTGCGCGTGGCCTCCTGAGCGTGGCCGGGTCAGCCACAGTTCAGAGCACAAATTGGGCCCCACACGGGGATCGGGGGCACTCCTGCCCCCACCCTTTTGCTGCGTTAGCCCCAGGATGTCACCGAAGCATCCCCTCCGAAGCACGTGAAGGGCCAGTCCCCCGCTGCTCAGCACTGCCAGGCCTCAGCTGGAGTCCCGTGTCCACTTCTGGGCTCCTAGTTCTGGAAGGACGCAGGAAAGCCGGAAGGGTGCAGAGGAGGGCGGCGGGGATGGTTCAGGGCCTGGAGGCGAAGCCCTGTGAAAGACGGAGAGAACTGGGCATGCTCAGCCCCCGGAAGAGAAGGCTGGGGGGACGGGTAGGAGAGCCCCCTACAAGCCCCTGCAAGGCTGCCGGAGAGGAAGGGCAAGGACTCCTCTCGTCCCTTCCAGAGTGCCGGACACTGAACAACGGACTTAAGTTCAAAGAGACCAGATTCAGGCTGGACACGGGGAAGAATTTCCTCACTGCCAGAGCGGTACCACAGTGGAACCCATTGCATGGGGACGCTGGGGGCTCTCCCACACTAGAGGCAGTCAAAGAGGAACTGGGCAGCCCCCTGAGTGGGGTGGGGTGGCTTGGTGTCCTGCCACTGCAGGGATTGGACTCGATGGCCTTCTGGCCCCTTCCAGCTCTACTGTTCTAGGATTCTGTGATATTCCTTCTCTGATAATGCATAAACATGGCTCCTGGGTTAATATAAAATATCAGCATCAGCAAGAATCTGCAACAATGGAGGAGAGTCTGAAGAGGTAAAGTCAACACTCAAAATGGTATTTAGTGCACAAATCAGAAAAGGGCCCAGAATCGCTCCACCACCAACTGATCCAAAGCAAGCATCTGTTTGCCCATCTGCCACAAGACTGTTTCCTTGCCAATTCTGAAGTCTGGATTTTCCCAGAGGGCCAGCTCAGCGTGCAAGAGCGGATCCAACGGTCAGCGATGTGAGATGGTGACCACGTGTCTCTTCTAACCAGAATAGCTCAGGTGCCGAAAGCCACCCCCTTGAACTGAGAACCCAGGTAAGAGGGTTCCAGAAGTGGCCGTGGCGGAAAATGCCACCTGAGCCGTGAAGAGCAGCAATGAGTCCAGGCTGGCAAGGAGGCCCAGAGGCAGAGCGCAAGACCTGAAAAGCCAAGGCCGCCTTCCTTAATAGAAAATGTCATCCTTCCCAAATAAATTCATGGTGGAAAAGTAATATTTTGGGACCAAAGAGATGATGCTCTGAAAATATTTGCCCAGTATATACAAAGGAACTTTGTATATACAAAAGATATACAAAAAGGATCTTTTGGGCTTGCACATTTCCTGGGAATAATGCTTGAATCGTTTTTTGAATCGTGACGGAAGTTCAGCAGGCCTGGTGGGGGTCCCTGGTCAGAATTCTGGCCGTGGAGGGGAAGTTGTGAGCGGAGTCCGGGAGTCATAATTTGGGGAGAGGAGGTAGTCTGTGCACGGGATCGGTAGGAAAACTGCACCGGAAAAAATTACACCGATCTGAGCAAGCTAGAGAAGGACAGCGGTCTTGTAAAGCCCACTGAGGCCTTCGCTGCCCATTTGGAGCGATTGCTTGTTGTTGTGGTGGTAGAAAAGCAGGCTATGAATAAAAGGAAGGGAGGAGGAAGGAAGGGAGGGAGGGCTCAAGGCAGCTTTAGCTCAGGCGGTACCTCCGCGTTTTCCCCTCGCCAAGCCCTGGTGTGGAGAGTCAGGGTCAGCGATCCCTGAGCGCCACGGAGGAGCCCAGAGGGGAGGCTGGTGGCCGGCTGGGCTCTGTCAGCTCCGGGCTGGGGCCACCGTCTTCCTGGCTGCTGCTCTCTGTCCCGCTGGGGGGCAGGGGGAACGTGTGGCACAAGGGGAGGTGGGGAGGCACGAGGGCACCCTATTTCTTCACCTGCTTTGCCCCCCCCCCATCGAGTGCGAACTGGGGGGGCGCTTTTGCTTTTCCACAGCTCTGGCCAGCTCGACGGGGATCTGAATGCAGGCTCCTAGCATCCAAACAACCCCCCGCCCCCCACACACACACGTGCCTGCACTGGCTGAATGGAGGGGCAGGCATTTGCCCTTCTGCATCATCATCCTCATCAAAACATAGGAACTGAGCAAGTCAGAAGGGGCTCCCGGGCCATCTAGTCTGACCCCCGGCTCCATTCATGACATGCCCACCATGTGCATGTCCGGCCCATGGCGGGGGGGGG